CTGGGGGGGGGGGGGCCGGGGGGGGGGGGGCAACTTTTAAAAAGTAGCGAAACTCACTTAACAATGCTCTTGCTTAGCAACCAAAATGTTGGCTCAGAAACTCTGGCATTTGAAGCACGTAAGTCTTAAAGCTGTCAAGTTACAAGACTCTTGCACCCCTAACCCTTTAGAAAAAACACCCCAGGGGTGTTCAAACTTGACAGCTTCAAGATTTGTGGACTTCAATTCTCAGAATTCCTCCTCTCGCTCTTCATCTTGATGATGTGCGGACAGGTGGTGGGAGGGAGCTGGAACCAGTTCTAAACAGCACTGTAGATTTGTGGAACCTCTTCTATAGAAGAGGTTATAACTGGCAGCAACCCACCCCTGCACCTGTGGCACGTGTGCCATAGGTTTGCCATCATGGGCTTAGAGGCTTATTAAAAGGACATTTGAAATCAACCCGCTTCAGACCAAGGAATTTCTCAATGGAAATTTTCGGAAGAACTTCCATGAAGTTCTTCATGGCTCCTGAACGTAGTTTGGTGTAAACCAGGAATGTCCAACTTGAAGACTTATGGATTTACGGACTTCTAAATCTGGCTAGAGAATTCTGGGAGTTGAAGTCGGCAAGTCTTGAGACGGTTAAAAATTACTTACAGCCTGGGCTTTGCTGAAAATAGATAAGATTACTTTACTTTATTGCCATTGCACCTTGTACAACGAAATTAAATGTGATCTTCAGTGTACAGTGACAGCTCAGGTTGTGGTTGTTAAGGAATCATGTGCAGTCATTAAGCACAACATCAGGTGGTGCCTGGTTTCCACATTGACTTGACTTATTGGAAGCTGGTAGTGAAGACCAGAAGGGGTGATGATGTGACTGTGGGAAGCTGTGACCATTGTAACAGTGTGCCAGTTGCCAAGTGCCTGAATCATAATCCTGTGACTGTGAGGACACTGCAAAAGCCACAACTTCAAGGACCGGCCATAAGTCTTCTTGTTGAGCACTGTTGTAACTTCAAATGGTTGCTGGACAATAAATTAACTTTAAACAATGCTATATGATATATGGAAGAATAAGAAGGAGGTTTTAGGAATTGAAGGGTAGGATATGTGTAAACAATATGAAATAATGAGAATGAAATGTGATAATTATGAGTAACAACATTATGCATATTTGTATTGAAATGTAGGATACCCAGATATCACACCATTCATATATTGATATGCATAAGTAATATAAAATAAAAAACGTGTTTGAAAAAAAAAACTTTAAACAATGCTGCTGGATTTGCAAATGCAGTAATAGTTGAGAAATATATTTACTTCACTCTTTCTGTCATAGTGTTAGCTTAAATTTAAGTTCTTATCCATTTTGATAGCCTGTATTTGATTGCACTCATCTTTAGCTTTTGCCAAACCAAAAATGTACTGGATTGGTGACCAGGAAGAGGCAATTGCCAATATCAACCCCTTATTTCATAGGCAGGCCAAGTATTCTACAGCAGTGTTTCTCAACCTTGGCAACTTGAAGATGTCCGGGCCTCAAATTCCAGAAATCCCCCACCCAGCGAGAGCTCGCTGGG